AGACCAGGCCCTTTGCCTAGACTGGACTACACCTAGTGTGGGCTGAGGAGGTAGGAGAGGCATGGGGTCATTGTCATTCTGTCTTGCCAGATGATTGGAGAGATACAAGATGATTAGGAAGGGTTGCCAATTCCTTTCCTGAGTGCTTCCTGCCTCACCAGTTACCCCCAAACCCAACTCAAGCAAGATGATGAGGGAAGCAATTTAAAAATTATTATTATTATTATATTAAATATATATCTTTATTGATTTCAGAGAGAGGAACGGAGAAAGACAGAAACATCAATGATGAGAGAGTCATTGATCCAGCCCGCAACGCGGGCATGTGCCTTGACCAGGAATCGAACCCCGATCGCCTGGATCCTAGGTCGACGCTCAACCGCTGAGCCACGCCCGGCCAGGCAGCAATTTAAAAATTAAATGAAGGGTCAGGCAGATCGTACAAAGCACCATGGTATGGAAGGAACAGGAGTGATGCCTTGGTCTGACCTATTCTCACCCCTGTGTGTAGCATGGGAAAGAGGCTCCATTGAGTTAGGCGTCTTGCTCGGCCACCTCTCCAGAGGGGTGCCCTTCTCACGCCCCATGTCCTCCCCAGAATCCCTTTCTCCTTATGTCTGCTTTCCAGTCTGTGTGCTCTTTTGCTCCTTCAGGAAAAGAGTTCCTTCTGCCTCCTTCCAAACTGGACATCCCGGGGCCGCGGCCAGGTACGAATGCCATCTTGCCTTGCTTCAGCCTTGCCCTCTTGGGGTGGATGGACCCTGAGAGCCCCCCGAGTTCGGGAGGTGGTGCAGGCTGCTTCCTCGGCCGGTCTCCACAAGCCAGGGCTGGGGCTCCTCTCCTCACCGGTTCCCTCAGAGCAGAAACGCTTCAGCAAAGCAGGCGTTGGGTTTTGTCCCTGACGACAACGCAGTCTAGCCTCACATGAGGAATGTATATTCCTCCCATTAACATCGGTTTGACTGTGCTCATTTCATAACTGGAACCCTCGCTTTACTTTGCTAAGGAGCCTTGGGCCACTGCCTGGGCTTGGCTTATGTCATGAGTCACAGCGTCAGCTGTGAATCCTTTTATTTTAGTCATCCGGGACAGCTTTCTGATTCCCAGATCTGTCTAGTGGAAGGGAGGACAGGAAGATGTGTGAAATTATTCCTCCTGCTTGTGATTTCCTCGCTTCATATACTCCTCCTTTCCTAACGTGTCCTCAGAAGGCACAGACAGTTAGGTGGGGCCATGCAAACAGCATTAGGCAAGACTACTTTTCCACTTGTCTCTGTCAGGGTCCTACAGGAAACACCTGGTCTGCACAAAGGATGTAACTGAAGAGAATTTAATAAAGGGACTGTTTACAGAGTTGCAAACAGACTTAAGAGAACCCAACAAGGAAGGGTGAAGACCCGGGACAGGCAAGAGCAGGCGGCCAATACCTCACCTAGGCCATGGGCAAGGGCGCATGGTGTTACCAGGCCCAGGGAGCGCTGTAGCTGTGAAAGAAGGGACACTCAAAAGTTGTAGCAAAAGGGACACAACCAGTGCAAAAACCTTGTCCTGGCAAAGAGGCCCAGTGGGAGGCAGAAGTCACCTCTCTTCCTTCCTGCTCCCTGATCTCCTTCCAGCATCACCCATTGGCCAAAGCCAACTGGAAGCCAGCGGGCAAGGAACCAGGGCACAACGGAAGGCAAAAAAGGTGGAGAACGGAGGGGCAACCGACACAGTCAACATCTGAAAGTTTTAGAAAATGGCCCATTTATCCCACAGAGCAAGCCACTATGTATAGCTTCCTATGCTTTACATTAGAATACTGGACCTCTGTGTGCACCAAAAGAAATGCAACATTGCTGCGCGGAAGTTTAATAGGTAGGTGGCATATAGGGCACCTGGTTCCAAATCTCATGACAGGTGGGATATGGGCTTGTTTTCCCACCACTTCACGCCTTAGCTCCTCACTCTGCATTCAATGTCTGTATCGGGGACCACAAAACTCTGTGTCGACAGGTACGTGTTTCCAGAATCAGGTTTTTGGGAAGGCTGTGTGCCCAGTGCCCCACCTGTCCCCCATCCTGCCTACACGCCCGTCACGGGGCTCCCTCAGATAGCCTTGCTGACAGCTTGCCTGGTCTATCTAAGTACTTTGGAAACCGACTGTTTAACCATCTCCTGAGGGAAACTTTTTAGTCAAACAACTCTTTTAAAAAGTTGTTAGCATTACAGTAACATTGAGTGAAATTTTTCCTGTTCCAAGTGACAAGTTTCGCCAAAGTTGGGTCCTAAAAGGACAACTTAAAAGTTGAAGTTACAGGTTAGCTTGTCATTTCAAGGTGACTGAACACCGTCCGTGCCGTCTGGCCCTGCTTTCACTGAATGAGGCCTGGAAGCCCAGAGAGTGTCACTAGCTGCTGCTGCAGAACAAAACCAGTTCACGAGTGGAATGAAGGTGCTGGGTGAAGGGAATGAAGAAATTAACCAAGGGCTAGATACCAGTAGAGAATAGAGTGGGGTGCAACGACACTGCTGTTAAAAACGACTAGCTAAGGCCCGGGCGGGGTGGCTCAGTTGGTTGGGCGTTGCCCTGTGCACCAGGAGGTCACCAGTTCAGTTCCTGGTCAGGGCACATGCCTGGGTTGCAGGCTCCATCCAGTCGATGTTTCCCTCTCTTTCTTCCTCTCCCCTCCTCTCTCTAAAAACCGATAAACTATTCTTTAAAAAAAAAAAAATTGCTAGCTAAGTGTTCCAAAAGAAGAGAAACAGCATAAAATTAAACAAAATATTTGCAGCACACAGGAACCAAAAATGTCCGCAAAAAAATCAAACTAGAAGATTCAGTGAATTTCGTTTGATTCCTATAGATCTACTCTTAACCTTTCTCCGCTCTGCTGTGTACCCCAGGAGGCTGACCTATTGGACGACATCAACTGCCCTCTGGCTCCTGATTAAATTAAGCCATTCGGACTGGGCAGGAGATTGGAAGGGAGGAGAGTAAGGCTGGACTATCCCCACCTTCCATTCTCCCTCTCTGTGGGGTCCCTGCAGGCTAGCTGCATTCCTCAACTCAAGGCCATAGCCCCAGGCACACTGCCCTCTCTACAAAGTTCTGTCTTTCTGGATTTTAGTAGCTCTCTCCCCTTCAGGCCTGGGCACTGCAAAATCCTTGTGGTTTCCCACATCCTGCTCACAATGTTGTAAATACTAGGTCCTGTTCATTATTAAATTGCCCAGTTGAAATGCACCATCCGTTTCCTGCCAGGACCCCAAGGCACACACTCAGTCCCATTCATCTCCCAGCAAACATTTACTGAGTAACTACTATATGCTGAGGAGAATATAATGATAAATTAGACATTTAATACTCTTGAGGGGCAGTCTGGGAGGTGGAGAGAGCCACAGGAACAGATGGTTATGTCACATTTTGATAAGTGATGTAGACATGCATTGGATGGAGAGGTGGGGGTGTAAAATGGGGGCATTGGCAGACTCGAGGTAAGGTTTCTGGGTGGAGATGGGGTCAGACAAACTTAGGAACAGGAAGGTGGTAGGGAGTGGTCAGGAGCTGGAAGAGAAGTTTACAGCCGTGAACATCAGGGCCAGTCAGGTGGTGGTAAAGGATTGGAGTGGAGAGCTAGGCTGGCCCAGACCACAGAAAGCCCTGTACTGCGGGGAAGGGTCCTTCTGCTCCATTCTCCCTCTCTCCTCACCAAGGGAAAAGTAATGACACTGAGCAGGGGTGGGGAGGGGGAGTCCGCAGCCTCTTACTCTTAGCCCTTAACCCTGCCCACTACCAGGGCTTTGCACTCCTACTTTCCTGGCCTAAAAGCTGTCTCTCCCCTTGAAAACCAGCCCACACACTTTGTAGGCATTCTAAGGACTGTCAAAATGGCACTAAGACTGGCCTGGGGAGATGAGCTGCAGGAGAGGGCTAGACCCAGACATTTCCAAATGTTAGGAGTCCTAACAGCTAGAGCCCCGTTTTCTTTAATAGCCGTAGATAACACGGGCACTTTTCTTGTCCAGTGGGGAATGGGTGATAATAATGTTGGGAGAGAGGGCAGGGAGCGAGGTTCACTTCGTTAAGGTAGGGGCTTCGGTCCAGATTGTTTTGGGCAGGTAGACACTTTTCAGATCCATTTTCATCACACTGTCTATGGAAGTCCGAGGTTCGGGAGGTGTCTGTCTGCCCTCTTTAAAGCACAAACTACAAGTAGTGTCCTTGCTAGGCAGGGCCAAGCCCCTGCCCTCCCACAGGTTCCTCCTTGGCGCACTCTTGGCATCAAGCCGGCCAGCCCTCTAAGACCTGGGCTCAGCTCAGAAGGCTTCATTCACCAAGATCACATACCCAACCCCGCCCAACGGATCCTCCTTGTCTGTTAACCAGGAGTGGGCACCACTGCCTTATTCAGCCTCCCCCAAATTAGGAAGAGACGCGGGAAGAGTTAAAAGAAAGCGGTGGGTATGGACTGGCGCGAGCTCTCGGCCGCCAGGGGATCCCCGAGGAAGGGCTGGTTTCGGAGCCGGGCCTGCTACCCACCCGCCGGAGGCCCCACAACCTCCGCAGGCCGTCGAGAAAGCCCCTCCTCCCGGGCGGAGACTGCGCCTAGAAGT